CGTCAATATTTTAGATCAACTAAAGTATATCTAATCTTGTAATTCAATAATATATAGTCTTCATATATTAAATAATAATAATGTAAATGTTTACATTACACTTCTTTATTTGTTATGCTCATACTTTTACCTTTACAATCGTTTGCTTTAATATGCAGTATATTTTTGTGTTTGCTTCCTCCTGCTCCCTTTCGGACACATACTGTATAATTTATTCTTATTATTAATATGAAGATATTATTAAGATAAGATGTTACTTTATTGATTGAACATTTTAGTTTAGAATGTGCTGTCCCACGGTAATTCAGAAGGCTCACAGGTCACATTCCGATCATTATTTAAAACACCGTCTACAGTTTGATTTGTATAGAGGGAGCTCTGTGGCTGATTGGCCAGCGATTAGGTGTGGTGCATTTATCATAGGTGATCAGAGCTAACTGCCTGCCGTCAGATTTAATTTAAAAAACAGATCTGATTTTAAGACTATTTCTGCGCTCATAAAGAATGATAAGAATAAGAATAATGCGTATTGAACTGGTTTCATTAATTAGTGAGTTTATTTAACACTATAACCGCCAATCGGGGTCAATTTCTGTGATGTGTGTTGTGTGCAATGTAACTTTTTTTCAATAAAATATTAAAGTCTCCCAGTCCGTGACTTTTCCTGAAAGTATGTTATGTAGCACCCTATGTTGTTAAAAATTGCATTCTAATAGCGGGATTTGACGGTTTTAGGTAGAACCTCTGGCGGTTCTAGTGTTAAGGTAATTAGGTAGGCTACAGTAGAAGCCCTTTTTGATCAGTAACGAATTTAGCAGTTGAACATAAAAGTCAACTAACTGAGGGTCACTTGCAATGACAGTGTTGTGTCTAACTGTAAGCTTGTCACTCAGAGTAACCTACAGTTAATTTATGCCCCGGCCACACGAGGACGAAAACGTCCGTTTGCGTTACTGTTTAGTGTCATATAGACCATTCGGCCACACGAGGACGACCGCATACGGCACTAAACGACTGAGGAAACGATAACGGGTCCCAAGGTGGATAGAACGGCATACGCAACGCTCTGGGGGGTCAAACAGCTCCGTGTGTGCGCCCTATACGATCATTTTCTGATAATGATTGCGCAATAGCCCCGCCTCTCCCCAACTCTGCTGCTCACCTCCGCGTACCCCGCGCCATTGCTGATGTGTTTCGCCACCAACAACAACAACAATGGCGGATCGCAGAGTTGCTATCGTGCTCCGGACGCTACTGACCATGCTACAGTTCTTTGTGCAACATCTACAGCAGACTTACACATCCGGGGGGGATCTTACTCGCTGCTTTTGTGGATATGTACTGCAGCTTCAGCGATCATTTTCTGATAATGATTGCGCAATAGCCCCGCCTCTCCCCACCTCTGCTGCTCACCCCCGCGTCAAAGTAAACTGCACACTGAATTCAGATTATTTATCTTTCTCTCGATATGGACATAAACGCGAGTGAAGTCTAATCTGACAGGACGGAGACACCTCTCAAACTACCTAAACTAGTTATAAATATGTTTATTTTTACTGTCGGCCGGGTCACTCATTACTGGATCAGCTGCTGCATGAAACAGACACTGGCGCTGTCCAAAGAGAGGGAGGAAAAAGAGAGGCTCCGTGTATTTATATTATTATATTATAGAGTCATTATTCATTTGTTTTAAAGCTCAATAAATAACAAAGAAGACCTTTGACCGGCACTTTTATAATTTTGTCGGAAGATTTAAACTTTAATACACGTTGACTGGCAAAAAACTCTGCCCGGTTCCCTCGGCCCCCACCGCGGAGAATAAACAGAAGGGCAACCATGACAACCATGCTTCTTCGCTGCTTTTGTGGAGGAAGTTACAGCGCCACGTACAGGCTCCTGCATATGTACTGCAGCTTCTCCAGCGGTTGGAGCTAAACGGAGCGGTCTCGTGTGGGCAGACACTATCCGGATAACTATTGCGTGTGGACGGAAGCTTGTTTGCGTTTGCGTTAATCCTATGCGTTTAGCCGTTTTCGTCCTCGTGTGGCCGGGGTCTTAGCTGCTGGAGAAGAAAGATCGGGGGGAGGGGGGGAGAGAGCTGTGGTTGATGGGCCATTAGTTGTGTAAATACACAGCTGAGAGCTGCCGTTTCATTCAGACTGTTTAAAAACGGTAACAACGGACTATTTTTCATAGCGAATGCATGTCAATTTAAATCAATACAACTATTTTTTAAATCAATAAAAACATTTTCTAAATCCATAAAAGCATTTCAATTAATATTGGGAGTCATGTCGTTACTTTGTTGAGAATGTGGCCATGTAATAAGCGGGATAATTTGCAGCGACTTGTTCCTTATGGGGAAAATAATAACACCCTTCAGCTGATCAGCCGACGAGGCTCCATTAAAATATAAATATTTTTAGTGAATTACTGAGTTTAGGCACGTTAATAAAGTTTTAATGAAGTTGAATACAGTATATTCATATTTGTCAGTGATTTCAGGTCAATTCGGCAAACATAAATGATCGTGGTGAAGATGATGATTAAATTAGGATTAAAAATCGAGAGCCGAGCTGCATTTCCTCCCGTTCGTTATTTTCGACTAAACAACATTATTTTGTTAAATAACAACATGGTGATGTTTTGTAAATGATTACATGTCTCTTATTTAGCACAGAGTATGATATCCATGACATATGGATCTTAACAAAGTTCCGCTGTACATCCAGCATACTGTATCTGACTTTATTTCACATGAGCTCCAGTGTGGAACCCCACTGCACCCCCTGGTTGATCAATAATCCATTGCAGCTGGCTTCATGATAATTACATTTATTTATCACGGGGGAGGTCTCAAGTCAAGCTGGAGGTTTTCCCTTGAGCGAGGGCAGATCACGTACCAATCACGGCCCTCGCGTTTCAAACTGTCTGAAATGAAGCGCTACATCTGTAGCTCGGGCTGCGGGGGTGCTAGAGACGGGAGCACGTTGATACGACCTTCCTAGCCGGAGTTATGGCCGCATTTTACAATAAACTTCCGTTGGGTAGCTTAAAAACGAATATCGCAATTCGAATCGCAATATTTGTCAGAAAAATCGCAATTACATTTTTTCCCAAAATCGTGCAGCCCTAACTGAGATGCGCAGTGACAGGATGCCATCTCCCTCTGTCTCCTGTATATACCAGAGGTGGGAGTAAGTCATACATGTGCAAGTCTCAAGTTACTGGGGTGAGAGTCAGGCAAGTCAAGTCATACGAAATCCCGAAGAATAATCCCAGTTTCCGCATTTAAATCAGTTAAAAGACGGTGGTTATGAAAAGTAGAGTTTTATTTTCAACATTAGCAAACATGGAGAGTGGGGCTCTGAAATCATAAAACGGGGAATAATCAGGCAGTACGATATGTGTGTGTAGAGGTGTGTGTTGTTAAAACGTAGCAGCCTGCAATCGCTATTTATCTGTTCTAGTGAAGGTAAACACAGTGAAGTAAAAGGCACAGCTCTTTGCAGCTGGTGCTGCTCTTCTCAGATTCTGCTGAGTTACACGTTACTGCCTCCTGGTGCTGCAGAGATTTCATGAAGTGAAGGAGGTTTTCCTTCTATAAAACAGCTGTGGGCAGCAGATACTGTGAGAGTCACTGACATGAATTGCAGGTCTCCCTTGAAAAAGAGATCTATGATCTCAATGGGACCAATCTGGATAAATAAAGGTTACAAACAAACAATTCATAGATCAAGTCAGACTGGTTCACAGACTCTCCTGTTTTGCCGATCCGCTGCTTAAACAAATAGCTCTCCTGGCCGAAATGTCCCTAAAATGAAGTCCGACTTCGAAATATATCTCAAATAATGTATGCATTGCCATTTCCCCACATAAACATAACAGTCTGCAATGAAACGTCTGTCTCCTATGCACTCCACTTCCTACTTGGCGCACTGGTAACTTTCTCCTGCAAACAAGTTACTTTCTCTCACTCTTTTTTTTCATTGCCCTTTAGGGGCTTCCTACAATACAAATGCAAATATTTTATTTTAGAAAGTAAAGTCCTCTCAAGTCATGAATACCAAGTCAAAGTCAAGTCGAGGATTTTATCAATGTTAGTCTCAAAGCACAAAGTCTCAAAGCACAAAAATATGCGACTCGAGTCAAGTCATGTGACCTGAATGCCCCACCTCTGGTATTTACTGTGGTTAAAATGTTGCTGTATCTGTTACGTCCCCCTCTAGGGTAGAGGAAAACAACACACACCAGAACGGATTTGGTAATAATTATAATAGAGTTTAATAAATAACAATGAAGGTGTACAACAAGATGAAACAAAAATAGCCTAAGCCAAACAAAGGAGCCAAAAGGGCGCAAATCTACTGCTAGAAACAGAAAAAAGGAGCCTAGTTGACACACCTGAGATCACTTCCCGTCAACACTAATTGGAAGGAGGCTGCAGCTAACAAAAGGGAAACAAAACACGCTACGCTAAACACATATCACCATACGCTACTCTAAACACATCACTAAACACCCCTAACACACAACACTAAACACAGTTCAGAAGAGTCAAATACAATCTACTAGCTTAAGTCTGTAAAGTCCACATAGGAGCAAGATGTGTGAGGCGTCTGATTGCAGCAGAGCCTCCCGAGTGATAGCTGTCCCCAGGCTTTGTAGCGTCATCTCTGGCAGGTGTGTGCTGGGATAGCATGGGGATTGGAGCGCGTTGGGCCCGGCGTGCTCCAATCAGTATCTTCGGGGGCGGAACCAGGAGTTGTTAGCCAATCACGTTGAAGCAACCACACAGCTTATATACATAACATGATAGCAAAACAGGATTAACAGGACCGGAGAGAAGCGACAGCCGTCACAGTATATAATATAAACACAGTTAGTAAAAGTTGTATTTTGTTAACTCAAGGTTTATATTAAGTGAGTTTTTATTGTTAACTGTATGTATTTATGCTTTTTAGATTTACTTTCTCTCTTTCTTTGTCCGTCTGTTCTAGAAACTGAAAGGAAGAGAGAGACGTCACAGCTGTCAGCAATGTGAAAAATCCTTTACAACATCTGCACATTTAAAGTGTCACTTGCGTATTCATACAGGAGAAAAACCGTACAGCTGTGAAGAGTGTGGGACAACATTCACTAGATCTGGTCATCTCAAAGCACATAAACGTATTCACACTGGAGAAAGACCGTACAGCTGTGAAGACTGTGGGACAACGTTCAAGACATCAAATGAACTCAAATCACATCAACGTATTCACACTGGAGAAAAACCGTACAGCTGTGAAGAGTGTGGGAAAACTTTCACTACATCAAGTGGTCTCCAAAAACATCAACGTATTCACACAGGAGAAAAACCGTACTGGTGTGTAGAGTGTGGGAAAACGTTCACTCAATCAGGTGATCTCCAAAAACATCAACGTATTCACACAGGAGAAAAACCGTACTGGTGTGAAGTGTGTGGGAAAATGTTCACTCAATCAGGTGATCTCCAAAAACATCAACGTATTCATACAGGAGAAAAACCGTACAGCTGTGAAGAGTGTGGGAAAACATTCAGGGAATCAGGTAATCTAAAAACACATCAACGTATTCACACTGGAGAAAAACCATACAGCTGTGAAGAGTGTGGGACAACATTCAGGGAATCAGGTCATCTAAAAACACATCAACGTATTCACACTGGAGAAAAACCATACAGCTGTGAAGAGTGTGGGACAACATTCACTCAATCAGGTGATCTTCAAAAACATCAACGTATTCATACAGGAGAAAAACCGTACAGCTGTGAAGAGTGTGGGAAAACATTCAGGGAATCAGGTCATCTAAAAACACATCATCGTATTCACACAGGAGAAAAACCGTACTGGTGTGAACAGTGTGGGAAAACGTTCACTTCATCAGGTGCTCTCCATAAACATCAACGTAGTCATACTGGAGAAAAACCGTACTGGTGTGAAGAGTGTGGGAAAACGTTTTCTCAAAGTTCTCACCGTAAAGTCCATGAGCGAATCCACACCGCATAGTTTTGAACAACTATGAGAGCCAAGCTAGCTGTTTCCTCCTCCTGATGTCCTGAGAGCTGTATTATTATATTTGAAGAGTCTTTCTGAATTGAAGTCTGACTAACAGACTTCAATTCACAGAGTTAGTCTCGTTTGATGTCCCTGGACAAGCCCTGAGGTCCTCTTCAGCTTTTTAAATATTCCTAGTCCTCCAAAATAAAATGGGCGAGGCTTTTATCCACTACGCTCCCAAACTGTGGAATACCAGGAAATATCAGAGAGGCTCAGTGGACATTTTTAAACGCCAGCTAAAGACACATCTCTTTAGATTAGCTTTTTATTAGCAACCTCCCACTTTAAATGGTCTTTTAGTCTTTATTATTTACCTACTTTTATATTGTTTTATATATGATATAGGAAGGGTTTTATGTTATATTGGTTTTTTAACCGTTTCAATAACATTTATTTTTGACGTTGGTTTCTTTATATTTTAATAATTTAACCTTTATTAGAATTATGACGTTTTTATTATTATTCATTCGTATTTGTATTTCTGTTTTATATTGTTGCATCTATTCACTTGTGTCTTATCTTTCTGAGAGAAATCATAATTTTGTTTTCATAATCCTTCTCCTCTGGGCTGCGCATGTGCCGTGTGCAGCATGTGTAGTGTGGTGTCTCCGTGTGAGACCTGTTAGTTTCACTTGTTCATTGTTACGAAATGTTCTCCAGTTTATCTTTGTGCATTGAGTACTTCAGTCACTTTCTTTTAGGAGAAAGTTGTTCTCAGTTCATCTTAAGTTTGTTTTGTAAATTGGCTGGTGAGCCTTCTTCCTTTTCAAAAAAATAAACATTATCTACTACTTTTGCCTAATCAGTTTCCTCTCTCCCGGTTATTTTTATACTGTTACTTCCCTTTGTACCCCTAGTTTAGGAAGAAAACGTAACATTGTATTTAATTTGTTATTATCATACCTTTTACCTCCTTGTGTATCTTAACCTGTTAAAATGTTATATTTAGCTGCATGTATCTGTAAAGATCTTAACATCTGAGGGGACTTGTCGTTTATTGAACTATGAAGAAATGTTTTACTATGCTGTGTTTCAAACCTCCACATATACCATTCACACCAACGCAACTCCAGTTCAAGCTCTGTGCTAGAGCTTTTCAGGTTCAGAACCGGTTCTTCGGTTTAGCTCCAGCTCTTTTCACACCGCCAAGAGTCCGACTAGTGTTGCGTCATTGCGTCATGACGTAACCGTTTGCGTCATGACGTAACCGTTTGCGTGCCTGCTTCATAAAGCGCGGAAACCCCTCACAGCTGACACCGACAACAACAACAGTGGCCGATTGTGCTCCAGCTTCCTCTGTACCTCTTCGGAAGACCAGATTCCCAGTAGGTAGCTGTTCTATTTCGTATATGGCTTCGCCCTCTAAGGCTATCGCTATTGGGTCATCCCCTGCGAACCCACGCAGCACTGAAACACTTGTAGTCCACGCCCACCCGCAAGGTGGGCCCCACCCTCGGGCTTCCTTCCGGTATAAATAGGAAGGAGGCCCGACAATCTGCTCCCTCTTTTCTTCAGCACACCGTTACTGAAGCACAAGAGACACTTCAATTGCAGAGTAAACATGAGTAACAATTGTGTGAGAGATTGTGGCTCTGGGTTCATAATGAGTTATGACCAGCACAGATAAAAGCAGTATGCGAATCCTGCCTGGGGTCAGAGCACGCGTACGCGGCTCTAAACCAGCAGGTAGCATGCACACACTACGCACGTCTCCCCTCGGGCGACAGGAAGCGGAGAGCGGACGCTCTTGCTGCTGTGGCCGAGGAGGACGATTGGCCCGTCCAGGCTTACGAGCCCGTGGACGGGGCCTTGTGTCCCGAAGGCCGAGTGCCGGGCAGGAGTCCGACAACTCCTGCCCTGCCTCACTCCACGGTTCACCATTCGGTTCTCCCCTCCCTCGGACGGGGCAGAGTGCCAGCTTGGCAGCCGAACATGCTTTTCCCCCTCTCCGTCACCACAGCGCGGCGGTAAATAGCATCGCGCTGCTCTCCAACTCGGTGGTGACACTAGTAGAGCGGTCCACCACCGAGGCAGAGGAAATCAGCAAGGCGGCCAGCACGGCGCTCATTCTGTGCGCGTCTGTCGCTGTCTCCCAGGCGAGGATTTCCGCGTGGGTGACACAGATCCAGCGCCACCTCGGGCTGAAGCAGGCGTCTGTTACGGAGACGGCCAGAAAAGTGCTACTGGACGTTCCAATCAGCCCGGACGGGCTGTTTGGACCCCAGTTCCACGCCATGGTGGAGTCCATGAAGACGGCCGCGGAACAGGCGGACGGCATTCACCAGCATGTACAGCTGGCTCCAGCCTGCTGAGCGCCCACAGCGGCACCAACGCCCGCAGCAGCCGCGGCGTCCACGCTGCTGCGGGCGCCACAGGAGGCCGCAAGCGCAGAGACGCCCACAGCAACCGCCTCAGCGTCAGACTCGCCCTTCGGCGGCTGCAGGGGCTCCGTCCCACGTCGCCGCTCCCCCGCCATCCCAGAGACAGGGTCTCCCGGAGACGAGTCAAAGGGGAGTGAGGCTCCCCGGCTCCTGGTCTGCTCCGCGAGAGCCTCCGAGGAAGCAGAGCCGGTAATTAAACCGGCTGCCACTAATCTGTTTAAGTACAGCAGGGCTCCCTGCAGAAGCCTGCTGGTTTTAACCTATCGGTTAATAACCTGCAGAGCTCGCGGCATTCCTCTGTCCCAGATATGCCTCCTACACACGGTCATAATAAATCCACGAGCACCGTTATAACGCCTCGTGTGGACAGCATGCACACACCTCTCATCCCATAGGCGTGTACGCGCCTCATGATGAGAGACGGAGTGAAATGCAGCGTGTGGAAACTCCCTCGCAGCCCTTTTGCCTCACGGGCGGCGATGGCGTGGCCATGACGACCATTACGGCACATCACAGAGAAGCCTCTCCCCCCAGCAGTTCCATGGGATACAAGAAACACTCCTGTCATCCCAGGAACAGTGTCTTGCGCGGTTTTTACTACGCTATTTTTCTAAATCTCGGAAAAGAACGGGGGAGTCGCCCCGTTGCTGTACAATCAATGTGTTTATTCGCACAGACAACAGGCCACGGCTATGGAAGCAGCCTACCTCAAATCGCCAGGGAGGAGTACGATCTGCGCAGCTTCTGAACACAGCCAGGCGGCTGCTGTTCTGGGCGCGCACACACGTTGCTCTCATCAGAGCAATGTATATTCCCGGCGAATTGAACAGAGGGGCTCGCAGAGCGCAGCAGCCGTGTTATGCGCGGAGTACGGAGACTCAGACCTGTGTCACACGCACTGGCGCCTCAGTGGGATTTGGCTTTGGTGTTACGCACACTAAGCAAAGCCCCATTTGAACCTTTAGACCAGGTTCCCCTTAAACTGTTGTCAGCCAAAGTAGTATTACTTTTGGCTCTATCAGCGAAAAGGGTGAGTGATTTGTCTGCTCCGTCATGCCTCCGGATCCAAGGAGATGGCAGTTCAGCTGTTTTACGCCCTAACCCGGCTTTTATGCCAAAGGTCATCACAAGCTCTTTTAGAGTCGAGAGTGATCACCTTGGATGGCTTATTCCCCCCTCCTTACAGGTCGGAGGAAGAAGCCGCGTCTCATCTCTTCTGTCCTGTGCGCGCGCTGTCCTGCTATGTGTCGCGCACGGCGGCCTGGCGCCGTTCTCAGCGCCTGTTTGTGCATTATAGAGAGCGCTCGATCGGGCAGCCTCTGTCTGCAAAACGGCTGTCACACTGGCTGTGTGAGGCTGTGTCACAGGCATATGTCTCCTCTGGGGTGGATCCCCCGGAGAACATCAATGCGCACTCCACCAGAGGAATTTCCTCCTCCACGGCTTTGCACGGAGGAATGTGAGTGGAAGATATTTGCACTGCTGCATCTTGGTCTTCCCCCTGTTCATTTATTCAATTGTATTTGAGGGATGTCTCCCATTCCTCTCTGACGCACCCTGTACTGGGTGTCTTGTCAGAGTGAGGGACGTCAGGGATCCAGCCGTACGCTCTCCTGCCTGTCTGCACGCAAAGAGCTGCTGTTCCCCCTCTTTTTGTCACTGGGCAAAGTATGACCTTCGTCTCTACTTTTTCACAGTGGCAGGTATGTATTGTTCCCAGCCTTCGTCCCCACATGGAAAATATTCATCTTATGCTATATTCCAGGGACGGCGATGCGCCATGGCGCAATAGGCATGGGTTATAATCTGAGCAGGTGTGTCTGTGCTTCTAGTACCGGGCGGACCCAGTGGGGCGCAGACTACATCATGCTTCGCCCTTAACCCAATAGCGATAGCCTTAGAGGGCGAAGCCATATACGAAATAGAACTGAGGTTACTTACTGTAACTCCAGCTTCTATGAGTATTGGCGTAGCCCTCTAAGTGCTGGGCCCCACTGGCTCTACGAATAGCTGAAGAAAAGTTATTTTGTATGGGAGCAGATTGTCGGGCCTCCTTCCTATTTATACCGGGCGTGGACTACAAGCCATGGCACCATATCACCCCCAGCCTCATCCACCTACATTGGCTGCCGGTCAAGTCCCGGATTCAATACAAAACACTCATCCTCACGTACAAGTCCCTCCATACCCTCGCCCCCCCAGTACTTATCGGACCTCCTCCATCCCTACACCCCTTCTCGGAGTCTGCGGTCCTCAGACACGGGCCTGCTATCCATCCCCCGCTCTCGCCCAGTGCTTGAATTGGAATGAAAAAGGTGCCAGTACTCTAAAATCAGCAACTTTTTCAAGTCAATTTTATATATACAGCCCACAAACAAGAATTTGGCTACTATAATGCTGGTGGGTTTGTCTCTTTACTACTGTATATTTTAGAAAGGTTCACTGTACTTAAACATTTTTATGATAGGCAGCGGATATGGCTAAAGCTCAGTAAGGTCAATATTAACTGAAAATATAGCAATCAAAGTCTAGATCTTCTGCTGAAGACACATGAAGCAGAGACCTTTCAGGTGAGAGCCCCTCTGGTGGTGTTCAACATTAATGACAAGGAAACAAAGCTCTGGTCAGAAGCATTTTTTATAAAAAGCTTTAACAAAATTAAGTATTTCTGTACATTTTGAATGCAATCTAACTTTCCAACTCAGAAAACGAAAAAGTGCCAAAAGTCTTCTCACATGGCTGAGCTGCTTTGCAATATACTTCACCACTGAAGAATACAAATATGTATAAAGTAAACTATGATGCAATCTAACTTTCCAACTCAGAAAAATGATAAAGAGCATGAACAAAGAACATGTAAAAACAAATGCAAAATGTGCACAATCTAAAATGAGAAACTGTAACTGCAAGTAACAAAGTCTGAGCCATGGTAAAGAGTTACATTGAACACCAAGCTGATCAGATAACTCCCTGGTTGGTCTGAAGTCCTTCTATCTCCAGGATCTGTACAAATCGGCACATTATGCCAAAAGTCTTCTCACTGGCTGAGCTGCTTTGCAATATACTTCACATTGTTAGAAAAGGCTCCAGAAGGCCTTGGGGACATCAGTATCAGGGGTTGGAGCTGGACAGGCTCTTTCATCAGCACTTCTCCTTCCCTTTGCCAGCCAGGACCTCACATACTGTTCCGGATTGAACTGTCCTAGTGATGGTCCATTACATTTAATGAAAACCAGGCTGGACAGTCGGCTGACAGAGAGAGCATTCCTTTTTGCAGTAAGGATATCGTTCATGCAGCTGAATGCCCGCTCACACTCACTAGTGGAGACAGCGATGGTTCGGACTGCTTTCAGTAGAGGCTCCATGGCAGCAGGTGTACGGGATGCCCTGGTTTCCTTGTATTCGCGAAAGCCCTGAAGTC